CACACACAGGTACCATCAGAGACTAGCACATGGCTAAGGGTCATGCACTGGTTCAGAGCTCCCCTGGGAGCAGCCTGGCTCCATCACTTACTTCATGTGTAACATCAACATGAACCTCTGATGCCTCAGTTTCCCTACCTATAAAACACAAAGATCACCATTGCTGGTGTTCCTATAATACATAGTAAAGAGTAGTTGGTAGGGCTTGTTGCCAACCACCGGGAGGTACAGCTGGGACAACTCAGGAGGTGGGAGTCCAGGATGCCTGTGGCAGCTGCAGGATTCTCTGGACAACTTGGCGGGCCCCTGCTGGGTCATGGCCTTGTGACTTCCATTGTCTCCCCCATCAGTGTTGCCTGGGAACAGCCTCATTTTTGCCTCTTGAAGATGCCATTTCTCCTGTTATCCCCTCCCCATCTGATTCCCTTTGAGCTGCTAAGATAGCCAAGGTGAATGGAGCTGGCATCCCCTGCCCCAGGAAGGAGAAGCCTTAAATGCCCCTTGTATTCCCAGAAGAGAGTGATGTCTTCCTGCTTCAGGGAGGGGAAAGCAGAGGGACTTCATGCAGAAGGAAAGGGGGGCCAGCAGATTCCAAGGGGAGAAGATGTTTGGGGATCCACAGCACCCTAAAAGATGTTTTTCTTCAAGGAAAAATGTCACGGGAAAGCTAGACTTTGGGGTCAGAGGTTATTAGCGCAGCCAAAATTTTGCACCCAGTGAGGGTCCCATGGCGCCCATGGGGCCGGAAAACCACCAGCTGTGGGGAGGAGAAGAGTAGGGAAAGATCAGAGTGGTCTGTCAAATGATCTGAAAACCTCATACAACCCAGGGCTAACAGGAAATCTCAAAAACTGGAGATGAAATTTCTGGCTATCCCTGGGAGTAGAAGCTCGGAGTTCTATCCTAGTGGGTCTAGAGGAATACATGAATCGTGGATTCCTTGGCTAGAAGAAGTGAGAGTGCATGTTCATACCGACCACAGCCTAAAGAGAAGCCTCCTGTGTGATTCCCCTCACATTGCACACCATAGGGCACACAGACAGAACTTAAATCCTAGCCTCAACTCAAGGTCACCAACTCAAGCCATCTCGATGATCAGCAATGACTGAGGCATGCCTGTGGGGACTGGGTGACCGGGAGAGGGTGTGCCCTGTCTAGATGGGGATGAACTGACATGGTACCCATCTGGGCAGTAGAGTCCCTGCATGAAACAGATGGCACCTCCAAGGGGCTCACTGAGGACCGAGGAGTGAAAAAATTATTCATAGAGGTGTGGACAGGCTTGAGGGGCTGGTAATTATGGGAAACCCAGGTCTGATAGGGCAGAGGAGGGGAAGGAGCCTGGAAGAGGTGAAACCATAGAGGAGGAGCCGCTGCCAGGAGCTGAAGTTGAACTTAACAAGCCTCAGCATCAGAACTTAAGCATCTTTGGGCGGGGACTTCAGAATCGGTCTCTCTAACGAGTTCCCAGGGGATGCTGATGCTGCCGGTCTGGGAACCACACTTTGAGAGCCACTCCTTAGAGAAATGTAGTCACTGTCAAAACTTCAACAAGAAGAAGACAAGATGAGAGAGAAGGGAATGCCCTAATCTTTCTCTCCTTCTGCCCTCTTGATTCCCTGTAGATTCCTCCTGTTGGCCAAAACCAATGGGCACAGAGTCCAGGCAGTTCCTAGGGCACAGAGAAGGGCAGGGAATGGACGTGGATGGGTGGACGGAGAAGAGCTGGCATGCCGCCCTACCTAAGGTGGTCCTCACCCCATCACGCTCGTGCCTACACCTGTGTTGCTTTTCTTCCATCATGAAACCACCATCACGCTCTGAAATTGTCCTGGGTATGTATTTGTTGACTTGTTTAGTACCTGTGTCCTCTACAGGATGTGCAAGGAACTTTTCCTCTGCTTTGGGATCTATTTACGGTAGTTCTGCGAGCACTGTGGACTTAACCACAGTTTAGACCAGGTTGGAGGTTGCAGGCCCTAAATCTTTTTTTTTTTTTTTTTTTTTGAGATGAAGTCATGCTCTGTTGCCCAGGCTGGAGTGCAGCGGCACAATCTCAGCTCACTGCAACCTCTGCCTCTCAGGTTGAAGTGATCCTCCTGCCTCAGCCTCTTGAATAGCTAGGACTACAGGTACCTACCACCTCACCTGGCTAATTTTTGTATTTTTAGTAGAGACAGGGTTTTGACATATTGGCCAGGCTGGTCTCAAACTCCTGACCTTGTGATCTGCCTGCCTTGGCCTCCCAAAGTGCTAGAATTACAGGTGTGAGCCATCGTACCCAGCTGAGAATTTATATTCTATCTCTCTATCTTAGGAATCAAAATCACAGTGTCAAGCAGTGATATCTGAAGGTGTCTGAATTAATCTCCATCTCTTAAAGTACACTTTTCTTATGTTATCGATGTCAATGTTTTATATTCACACAGTTGTATTCTGTCAACATTTATTAAGCACCTACTATGTGCCAGTCCTGGTTTTAGGTGCTGGAGATACAGCAGCAAACCACACAGACAAAATCCCTGCCCTCACAGAGCTTCCGTTCTCATGTTAAAGTGTATATATCAGCAATTCTCTTGCCAAAAAAGTGACATTCCCTGGGTCTTCTAAATAATGGCCAGTCAGGCCAGGCGCAGTGGTTCATGCCTATAATCTCAGCACTTTGGGAGGCTGAGATGGACGGATCACCTGAGGTCAGGAGTTTGAGACCAGCCTGACCAACATGGTGAAACCCTGTCTCTACTAAAAATACAAAAATTAGCCAGGCACGATGGCACACAACTATAATACTGGCTACTCAGGAGGCTGAGGCAGGAGAATCGCTTGAACCCTGTAGGCAGAGGCTGCAGTGAACTGAGATCATGCCATCCCACTCTAGCCCGGGCGATAAGAGCAAAATTCCATCTCAAGAATAATAGTAATAATAATGCCCAGACAATATCTCTGCAACACAGAGGTGACATATTTTCAGCAACAACTAGAAGCTTCATGACCATGTATGTCTTGTTTGCTATTGCAACTGCAAAGCCTGCAGACATGATCGTGGAATGAGGCAATGAATAAATAATTTATGAAGAAAGACTTCATAAATCTGCTTTCTCAAGCATCCCACCAAAGTGGGGTGCTACCCTGCAGAATACAGAAGATGTGGCCACAGTGAGACAGAGATGGAATCTTGGGCACCATCTAAGACAGAAGAGACAGAAAGGGATGTCTGCACCAGCAGAGAAAGAGCTGGGGCTTCAACAGCAGCCATGGGGCAGCCACATGGAGCCTTACACCTGCCACGAGGCAGCGGACTTGAAGATCAGGAGGTCACCTCAGCATCACATCTGCACTTGGCCTTTTCCCACTGCTGGGTCTCTGTTCTTGCTTCTCTCTTAATCTCAACATCTTCTCTCTCTCCATTTTTCTAAGTCTCAACCATTCCCTGCCTTTGAGAACCAGCTTGAAATGTCCACCCTGCTCTCCCGCCACGAAGCCTGCCTGGTTCACCAACCACTTGCTCCATCCGGAAGAAACGTTTGCCCCACTGTAAATTTCCCAAGTGTTTGATTGCAATATCACTCATTATATTGTCACATGCTACCCTGAGCACCACTTGGCCCCTCTGCTAAGCCAACCTCGGGAAGCAGATCCCACCCCAGGCTCAAGTTAGAACCAGGATCCTACAACCCGAAGGAGAGTTGAAAACAAGCCCCATGCAAAGGACTTGGCATCCATCACAGCAATGGCATGAGGTCTGAATCCATTCCCATTTTACAGATGAGAAAACTAAGGCTCACAGAGGCGGAGTGACCTACCCAAGGCTATACAGCCACTATGGGGCAGAATCAGGATCTGGCCTCAGATCTTTGTCTTTCCAAGGCTGTTATGCTGGGGACTGACTTGGTCAGAAATGGAACAAGGACGGGACAAGTGCGGTGGCTCATGCCTGAAATCCCAGCACTTTGGGAGGTCAAGGTGGGCAGATCACTTAAGGTCAGGCTTTCGAGATCAACATGGTCAAATCCCATCTCTACTAAAAACACAAAAAAAATAGGTGGGCATGGCAGCATGCACCTGCAGTCCCAGCTACTCAGGAGGCTGAGGCATGAGAATCACTGGAATCTGGGAGGTGGCGGTTGCAGTGAGCCATGATTGCGCCACTGCACTCCAGCCTGGGCAACAGAATGAGACTGCCTCAAAAAAAAAAAAAAAAAAAAAAAGGGACAAGGACACATTATAGAAGGCATTCCATGGCCAGACCAGGTTTCTCCAAAATATCTTTCTCTAAACATTTTATTTTATTTATTATGGGAAATTTCCGTCTTTTACAAAAGTAGAGAGACTAGGACAAAAAGCCCCATGTCACCATCCCAGCTTCAATACCTGTCAACTCAAGGCCAGTCTTGTCACCTCTACACCCCACTGTCCCTACTGCCATGAGGTTATTTTGAAACAAATCCCAGAATTGGACTTAAAATATGTTTTTCAGGGGTGTGTTCACCTGTTCAGAAAAGACAAATGGAAGGTTATTTCTTCCCAGAACCTGTGTCCTCACCCTCTGAGGCAGCTGGCTTTTTGCAGCATGAGAAGCAAACAGAAAATCCAGGAGGCCCTGACTTCCCCTCGCTGCTAACCCCTCTGACACTGTCTCCAGGGGCTCTGGCTGAGCTGAGGTTGGAGGGGGCGTCACTCAGACATTGCCCTCAGTGCACTGTCTCCAGGGGCTCTGGCTGAGCTGAGGTTGGAGGGGGCGTCACTCAGACATTGCCCTCAGTGCAGCGGCTTGAGCTCGTCAGCAGACACATCAAGACTGTCATGAAACAGAGAGCCTGGCACAGGCCCTCAGCAGAAATGAGGCTTCCAGGAATCCACCGCAGAGAGAACTGGTCGGGTCACAGCTGCCTCACTCTGGCTCACCACTCGGGCCTGATTCCAGGAATTCCACCCCAAGTCTCCTCCTCTAGGTCCGCTCTAATTAAGAAAGAAGCTCCCATATGAAGGCAAAGGAGAGGCACAGGATGCACCAGGGTCACCAGGAAGCCGGGTAGGGGGTGCTCCCCGGCAAAAAGCTGGGCTCTGGCTTCACACAGACCCGAATTCAAATCCCCACTCTGCCGCCTAGGTGCAATGGCTCATGCCTGTAATCCCAGCACCATGGGAGGACAAGGCGGGTGGATCGTGAGGTCAGGAGTTCAAGACCAGCCTGGCCAACATAGTGAAACCCCGTCTCTACTAAAAATACAAAAATTAGCTGGGCATGGTGGTGGGCACCTGTAATCTCAGCTACTTGGGAGGCTGAGGCAGGAGAATTGCTTGAACCCAGGAGGCAGAGGCAGAGGCTGCAGTGAGTGACAGAGTGAGACTCTGTCGCAAAAAAAAATTAAAAATTAAAAAATCGAATCCCCGCTGTACCACCTGCTAGCTGTGGAACTGGGAGTAAATAATTTTTTTTTATTTATTTGATTGGGTTCTTTTTGTTGTTGTTTGCTATTGAGATCGACCATTCCAGCCTTCCGGGTTGCCAGGAAGGCTAAATAAGGTCATGGGTATAAAACAAGACGTCTTCAGTTAGGATTTAGTTCAGGCAACATCTGCAAAGGGATCGGCTCGATGTTTTGACACTCACGCCCTCAACATCATTCATCACAGGTCTGGAGGCTCCCGTACAGGTGTCTAGGCTCAGAAGCCACAGGACGTGAGTTCGAATCCATCCTCTGCCTCCTCAAAGCCAAGTGATCTCAGGTGAGTGGCTTCACCTCTCTAAGCCTTTTCTTTGCTTGCCAGATGGAAATCAGAGCACCTCCCTTCCACGCTTGCAAAAAGGATTCAAACAAGCCAGGCACGGTGGCTCATGCTGGTAGTTTCAGCTACTAGGGAGGCTGAGGCAGGAGACTCATTTGAGCCCAGACTAGACAACATAGCAAGACTCAATTTTCTAAAAAGAAAGGCCAGATGCGGTGGCTCAGACCTGTAATCCCAGCACTTTGAGAGCTGAAATGGCTGGATCATCTGAGGTCAGGAGTTCGAGACCAGCCTGGCCAACATGGTGAAACCCCATCTCTACTAAAAACACAAAAACTAGCCAGACATGGTGGCAAGTGCCTATAATCCCAGCTATTCAGGAGGCTGAGGCAAGAGAATCACTTGAACCTGGGAAGTGGAGGTTGCAGTGAGCCACCAAGATCATCTCATTGCACTCCAGCCTGGGCGACAGAGTGAGACTCTGTCTCTAAAAGAAAAAAAGAGAGAGAGAGAAAGAGAATTGAAATGGAAGAGAGTGTGTGAAAATGCCTGCCCTGTGCTTGGCTCCACACGTAAGTGCTTTTAAAAAATTCCTTCCCTGGATCCTAAGTTAGAGACACATGCCACTCCTCCCAAGGAGAGCCCGGGCATCTTCCCAAGCCAGAAGCAGGAGGCTGTAATTCTGCAACTTCAGCCTGAGCAGGTGGGGGGAACCTGGCAGGGCCACAGGCAAAATCAAGGGGGGTGGCCAGAGGCAGATGCCCAATGCTGGCAGAAGGTGTGTAGAGTATTGAGTCTGCCAAGTTACCCTTGGCATGGATACTGGGCGCCCAGGTTGGCAGCAGAGATGTGGGCAACGAGATGGGAGGAGGGGGTCACCGAGGAGCCCAGCATCCTTGGCTGAATCACCGGATCCTGGGTCTGAGGATCGTGACTTAATTCCATAACCTGCCAGATGGTGTTGCTGAGGCTTCTGCGGAGTCAGTAGGTGGGGAGAAGTGGGGAAGGCAGGGTCAACAGAGAGCAGCAGAAGCACCAGTTTCACAAAGTCAGCCAACCAATAACACATGCTGACATGCATCACGCACACACCAACGTGTGTTCTAAGTGCTGTACGTGCATCAGCTGCTAATCTGCACGACAGCCTATGAGGCAGCTTCTATGACGGTGCCCATTTTACAGATGAAGAAACTGAGGCTGGCTGGGCACAGTGGCTCACACCTGTAATCCCAGCACTTTGGGAGGCTGAGGCAAGTGGATCACTTGAGTTCAGGAGTTCAAGACCAGCCTGGCCAACATGGTGAAACACTATCTCTACTAAAAATACAAAATTAGCCAGGCATGATGGCATGTGCCTGTAATTCCAGTTACTTGGGAGGCTGAGGCAGAAGAACCACTTGAACCTGGGAGTCAGAGGTAGCAGTGAGCCAAGATCAGGACACTGCACTCCAGCATAGGCAATAGAGTGAGACTCTATCTCAAAAGAAAGAAAGAAAAATAAAAAGAAACTGAGGCAGAGGGAGATTGAGTGAATTGCTTGTCTAACACCACACAGTTGGTGGAGCCAGGATCCCAGTCAAGACAGCTTGGCACAGAGCCTTTGGTCTGGCTACTCCTCTGTAGCACATCTTAGCAGAGTAGGCAGGTCCTAGTAAAACTCATTCCTTCTAAGGGAAGTCCCCCATGCCCTCCAGAGACCCCACACGTGTCAGGAGAACCCAGCAGCCTTCCAGACATGCCCAGCGAAGCAGACTCCAATCTGGCTGGTTCAAAGTTTGACTCTGGTTCTGAGACCCAGATTCTACAAGCAGCGAAGGTTTTTGGCAGGTGCACAGTTAATTTTCTTTATAGCTGGGTGCTTTCAACTTGCCAGGTGGGCAGAGGAGAATCAGTCCTGGTCCCCCAACAAATTCAGCCAATGGGAAATGATTTTCACTGTTAGGCAAGGGCAAGAGTTCACACACCTTCGTTGGCTAGATTCAAGGAATTCAGCTAGGGGAAAAAATGCCAACAGATCTTGTGTGAAGCTTCTCCCCTTGCTATCCGGGCTGGCGGCAGAGCATTGGCAAGCACTTCCTTGGATTCTCTGGAGGCCTCTGCCAGTTCAACTGACGGGGCAGCAGATGGCACACACTTCTCTGCTGATGATATTTTGATTTATTTATCTCTTACAGATGGTACCATGCCTTGATTTCTGGCAGGAGCCCAAAATGCAGGTCAACTTTCTGGGGATAATCGTTTCTACAAGTGGATGAACTACTGAAGACGAAAGCCCTGCCTGGCACCACGAATGCAACGCCATGGCCTCCAGAGGCCATGCTTGGGCATCGGGGCATCGTGGATAAATCAAGAGAAGAATTTTGTTCTCAAGAATGTTAAAGCTGAAGAAGCCAAATGCTTATCTAAAATTAGAATTATAGTGATTAAATGTAAGAGATTTAAATTCACAGAGTCCTGAGTTCAAGTCCCAGCTCTGCCACGTACCAGCTCCGTGATCCAGGGGTCAGACTCTCTAGGTCTTAGTTTCCACATCTGTAAACTGGGTATAATTGTCACCTGTACCACATAAGGTGGTATCCACCAAAAGAAGTGATACTGCTTTGGTAGTATAGAGTTATGGCTAAGAAGTAGCTGCCCTGGCTCATGCCTGTAATCCCAGCACTTTAGGAGGCTGGGGAGGAAGAATCACTTGAGGCCAGGAATTTGAGACAGTCTGGGCAACATGGCAAGACCTTGTCTCTACAAAAAATTAAAAATGGGCCGGGTGCAGTGGCTCACACCTGTAACCCCAGCACTTTGGGAAACCAAGGCGGGCAGATCACGAGGTCCAAAGATCGAGATCACCCTGGCCAACATGGTAAAACCCCATCTCTACTAAAAAGAAATACAAAAATTAGCTGGGTGTGGTGACTCATGCCTGTAGTCCCAGCTACTTGGGAGGCTGAGGCAGGAGAATTGCTTGAAGCTGAGAGGCAGAGGTTGCAGTGAGCCAAGATCATGCCACTGCACTCCAGCCTCGCGACAGAGCGAGACTGTCTCAAAAAAAAAAAAAAAATTAAAAATGACTTGATGTGGTGACACACACCTATAGCCCTCCAACTCAAAAGGCTGTGGTGGGAGGATTACTTGAGCCCAGGAGTTCAAGGCTGCAGTGAGCTATGATTGTGCCATTGCACTCAGCCCAGCCAGGTACAAGATTTCCCGGCATCCCTTGCATCCCAATGGGATCATGTAACCTGTGGGTCACGTGACTAGTTCCCACCAATAGGATGTGTGTATGCGTGAAGTGGGGCACTTCCTGGGGTGGGCGCTTATGAAATGGGTGTACCATCTTTTTCTTCCTCCACGAAGATGCAAAGGGCTCTAAGACCCTACGAAATGGTACAGCTACAGTTTGGAAGTTGCTAGTCCCCTGGGTTAGTCCATTTTGTGTTGCTATAAAGGAATACCTGAAATTGGGTAATTTATAGAGAATGAGGTTTACTTGGCTCATGGCTCTGCAGGCTGTACAAGCATGGTATCAGCATCTGCTCTGCTTCTGCTGAGGCCTCAGGAAGCTTTTATTCATGTTGGAAGGTGAAGGGGGAGTAGACGTATCACATGGTGGGAGTGAGAGCAAGAGAGAGGAGAGGGAGGAGTTCCCAGTTTCTTTAACAACCAGAACTTGCATAAACTCATTGCTGTGGGCAGGGCACCAAGTCATTTATAAGTCACTCCTATGACCCAAACACCTCCTACCTGCCCCACCTCCAACATGGGGACCACATTTCAACATGAGATTTGGAGGGGACAAATTACAAAACCATATCATCCCAAAACCCTATGTAGAGTAGAACTACCATCCTCCAGGACCACCTGTACTGACATGTTACATGAGCAGGAAATAAACTCCTATTGCTAGCTGGACACAGTGGTTCACACCTGTAATCCCAGCACTTTGAGAGGGTGAAGCAGGAGGATCACTTGAGTACAGGAGTTTGAAACCAGCCTGGACAACATGGTGAAACCCTGTATCTAGTGAAAATACAAAAATTAGCTGGGCGTGGTGGTGTATGCCTGTAGTCCCAGCTACTCAGGAGGCTAAGGCAGGAGGATCACTTGAGCTCTGGAGTTTGAGGCTGCAGTGAGCTGTGATCGTGTCACTTCATTCCAGTCTGGGGAACAGAGCAAGACCCTGTCTCAAAAAAATAAAAGAAAATATAGTTCTTCTGTTACTCTATTGACATTTCAGGGTTCACTTGTTACAGCAGCTAGTGCTGCCCTTTGCATAGGGCAGCTAGAGATAAACGAGGTAATATATGTGAAGCATGTGATGCAGGACAAGGACTCAGCTTCAGGGAAGCTCGATAAATAAAAGAATTGGGATGTTTTTTAATGTCATCCCATATGTTTGGTTTGGTTTAAAGCAAGGCAAATAATTTTCCCCATACCTCAGTCTTATTTCTGCCCCCCCCCCCGACCTTTAAAAAAAAAACGGAATCTCACTCTGTTGCCCAGGCTGGAGTACAGTAGTGTGATCCTGGCTCACTACAACCTCCATTTCCCGGGTTCAAGCAATTCTCCTGCCTCAGCCCCCTGAGTAGCTGGGTTTACAGGCGCATGCCACTATGCCCAGCTAATTTTTGTATTTTTACTAGAGATGGGGTTTCATCACATTGGTCAGGCTAGTCTTGAACTCCTGATGTCGGGATCTGCCCACCTCGGACTCCCAAAGTGCTGGGATTACAGGCGTGAGCCACCGCGCCCCGCCTTTTTCTAAATATAGAGATGAGGTCTCACTATGTTACCCAGGCTGATCTCAAACTCCTAGGCTCAAGCGATCCTCCCTCCTCAGTCGTCCTATCTCATTCTCCAAGAGCATTCTTTGAAAGAGAAATCAAAATGGGGGGCAGGGATATTAGGGAGTTTTTTGGAGGCATACTATGGCTGACACTGTGAGACTGTGGCCCACAATTATCTGCATCTCAGCTTGCAAGAAAACAGCTGTTGCATGGCGAGAGTGACGCCATCTTGAAGTAAAATTGCCATGATGACCAGCGTTTCACTCCTGCAGCAAGATCTTTAAACGTCTGTGGCATAAATAACCCCTCACAGAGAAACAATGCCCACAGCATAGACAACCCTCATCACCATGCTTACTAGCATCCTCATGATGCTGGTCATGAGTTTTGCAAGAAAGTCTGAAGCGTGACCAGCTACTCATGTTTTATCCTAAAATTTGCTAGTGAAATGAAAGTTTTTGGAGGTCAGTGCAGAAATCCACTGTCGCATGGCCTCAAGACACCACTTCTGTTCCTAAGTCCCTGTGAATGTTTCTCTCTGAGAAACAGGATTTGTCAGGCCTTCTACGGCCATATAGCCTGTAGAAGCATGAGCCAAATAAACCTTTCTTCTTTGTAAATTACCCAGCTCCCTCCACCCTTGAAGGTGGGTTTGTATAGACTGCTCGCTGTAGAATGTGTAGCAATCCAGCCAGGAGCTGAGAGACCAAGAAATGGACAGAGGGAATGAAGCCTCCATGGGGGACATCCCAGGGTACCCAGCCACTTCTATGTGGAGCAGTGCAGTCACGTTTTGGACACTTTTGGACCACGATGTGAGTATGAGAATGCCCCAAAAATGCCAGGATCAGCGCTTCTGTGGGCTGCCCATTGGATGACAGAAGTCCAGCTAGCAACAGATGCAAAAGTAAAATGGCTTGAGGCAGAATTATAACTGGAAAGAAGATTTTTTTTTTAGAGCTCTACAATCAGAAGTCAGCTTAATTAAAAGCTAATGTTCAGGCCATAATTTTTTTCAAGATGGGGAAGGCCTTTATCCTGTTTCTGGCATTTTTTTTCAGTTAACTGAAACACCTTTATAAAAATTATGTTTGATCCCCCTGTTTGGTGTCTTGCTTTTCAGTATAATTTTTATTTTTTTTCCTTTTTTTTTTTTTTTTTTGAGACAGCATCTCACTCTGTCACTTAGGCTTGAGTGCAGTGGCACAATCATGGCTCACTGCAGCCTTGACCTCCCAGGATCAAAGTATCCTCCTGCCTTGGTCTCCAGAGTAGCTGGGACTACAGGCACATGCCACCATGCCCAGCTAATTTTTGTATTTCTTGTAGAGATGGGGTTTTGCCATGTTGGCCAAGATGGTCTCAAACTCCTGGCCTCAAGCGATCTTCCCGCTCCAGCCTCCCTAAATACTGGGATTACAGGCATGAGCCCCTGTGCCTGGGTTTTGTTAGCGTGATTTTTGCTCTTGCTCTTCCATTTCCTTCCACTTCTGCTCCTCCTTCCTTTTGCCATCTTTGATGCTACATAAATGAATCTAGAGGAGACTTCCTGTGCCCCTGAGACCCTGATAGAGTCTGGATGTTTGTCCCCTCCAAATCTCATGTTGAAATGTGACCTCTACTGTTGAAGGTGGGGACTGATGGCAGGTGTCTGGGTCATGGGGCTAGATTCCTCATGAATAGCTTGGTTCCATCCTCATGGTAATGAGGGAGTTCTCGCCGTTAGTTCATTCAAGAGCTGGTTGTTTAAAATGAGCCCATACCTCCTCCCCTTTTTCTCTTGCTCCCTCTCTGACCACGGGCCATGCTGGCTTCCCCTTCACCATCCGCCATGATTGGAAGCTTCCTGTGTTCTCACCAGAAGCAGAAGCTAACACAGTGCCTTCCGTATAGCCTGTAGACACATGAGCCAAATAAACCTTTTTCTTTGTAAATTACCCAGTCTTGGCTGGGCACGGTAGCTCACACCTATAATCCCAGCACTTTGGGAGGCCAAGATGGGCAGATCATCGGAGATCAGTCAGGACTTTGAGATCGGCCTGACCAACATGGTGAAATCCCGTCTCTACTAAAAATACAAAGTTAGCCAGACATGGTGGCACATGACTGTAATCGTAGCTACTGGGGTGGCTGAGGCAGGAGAATCACTTGGACCCAGGAGGCAGAGGTTGTGGTGAGCCGAGATCACGCCATTGCACTCCAGCCTGGGCAACAGAGCAAAATTCCGTCTAAAAAAAAAAAAAACCAGTCTCAGCTATTTAATTATAGCAACATAAACAAACTAACACAACTCCTTGAGGAACACAGGAAAAGATGCCACTCACCCCCTTTTTGGGGTCTTCTGCCTTCCTTGTGGAGTCCCAAGAGTCATAGGAAGGTTTCTCTGGGGTCTAAACCTCTACTTTTTTGCATTGCTTTCCGTGATCTCTTAGGCTTTCGGGAGTACCAGGGATTACTTAGTACTGTGACAGAATATGACCTTTGCGTGTGCCATGGCTGACAAGTCACTGATGAGGGCTGCCATTTTGGGGGTGGCTGACAGTGTTTACAATGAGTGTTATTGCTGCAGGGAGATGACTTATTTCTTTGCATATTTAGCTAAGAAAAGTGTCATTTGGCCAGGCACAATGGCTCATGCCTGTAATCTCAGCACTTTGGGAGGCTGA